TTATTAAGTGCTATTTAGGGAATAAAGCAATTTAAGTACTATTTAGACAAATGCCTTAAGTTTTAGTATTATTTACTGCAAATATTTCTTATAGTAATTCATCTTCTTATATATCAATGACAGGGTACCGTTGGCAGCCCGGGGACTTCGTTCAGGCTTCGTGATCCGGAAATATTCTTGCGTGCCGGGATGAAGAAAGGGCATTTTGGTAATCTTGATCTCTCAAGCTCGGGATCAAGCGAAACGAGCCCGAACTCCGCACGTAAAAAGAAACTGAAGTTTCTTATGGAGTGGCAGCGGAAGAGCGAGAAGGAGAGCGAAGAGGGCGGGCCCCACGAATCCCGAACGCCGCGTCGTTCGAGATCGCAAGAGAATCCCGGAGTCTCGCTGCGGGAGAGATTTACGAGAATGCCCTCGCCTCCGAGCCCGTGTACCAAGAAGAAGCTTGAAGTGCAGTCAAGGCAGGGGGGGATCTTGAATGAGTTGTTGGGGAATGGGGAAAAGACGAAAGTGGACGTGGGGTGCAAAGGCAACTCCTTTAACAAGAAGGTGATGAACCAGGTGTTCTGCCTCGGCGCCGAGGGCATTTCTGTCTATAACCCGGGGAGGTTCAAGCCACAGCTGGTTCAGTGTTGCAAACAAGCTGTTGCCACCTAAGTTATGACATGTTTTTTTGTGAGTATATAAAACCTTTTCCGGACTTACAATCACAAAACTATTTAACACCGAACACCGTATCAGAGTCTTGTTGATCTAAGGGTCACAAGTTTGAACCTCACCGAAGCCCAATTTAAAATAAATAAAGAAATTAATTTTCACGTACAAAGCTAACGTACAAAGCTGGGGCAAAAACAAATCTTGCATGGTTAGAGTATAAAAACTTTTTCAAAAACCTACAACTACAAATTTGAGCTCCTTCCTTATTTAAATATGTATGTATATATGTGGAAGCTTGCAGTTATACTACAATACACGGAGTAGTAGTTTTACAATTGAAAGACTAATCGTGTGTAAAGCATTAACTTGAATCACTAAGACTATGTTTGGTACAAGGAATTTGAAAGGGAAACGAAAAGAAAATGAAGTGGAAAATCATTTTTCTTGTTTGGTTAGAGGGGAAAAGAAAGGAAAAGTGAAAGGAAAAGAAAATGAGGAGGCAAAATATACCAAGTGGAGGGAAAATTAAATTCCTTCCATTTTTGTGAGAAAAATGAGAGAAAACCATTTTGTTTTCATTTCCTTCCAAAATCTTTGAGCCAAACATAGTGTAACTGTGCAATTTAGTCTAAAATATGCATGTATGTGGAAGCTTGCAAATATACTACTCCGTACAATACACTCAATACAAAGAGTAATAATTTTATAGTTGAAAGACTAATCGGACATAATGCACTAACTTGAATCACTCTGCAACTTAGTCTAAAATATGCATGTAGAAGCTTGGAGTTATATTGAGTAATAGTTTTATTCAAAACAAATTCTTTTATAGTATTTAAGTCCTTGCTTATTTTATGGATATTCATACATAAAATAATTTTATATATTGGATTTTATAAAAGTAAAGAGATTCAACTATAAACTTATAGAAAATATATGAGAAGGTAAACATTTTATATATGAACTTTAGGATTAGAATTACACAATCCGTTTTAAAGAGTTGTAAATGAACCTATAAGATTTTTTTAGACTACATTCCTTTTCAATGTGTTCAGGATCACAAATATTTTGGTACAATATAATCAAAATAAAATAAATGGTAAAGAATGAGGTGGTGTACAGGGGTGTTGCTAAATCCTAATGTTAAAGATACTTCACTATTGAGTGAAGTTATGAAGTTTGTTAAAGGGGTGTTGCTAAATCCACCATACTTTTGACTAAACCCACTCATTTATGAGAACTAGACAAGTTTATCCTTATGTTAAGTTTTCATGTGATTTTTTTCTTTTACACTTTTAACACCGAATTTGTACATTTATAACAAATTGGGTGGATATAGCCAAAAGAGGAGTGAATTTAGCAATCCATATTGAAATGTGTTTAATACTCCCTCCGTCCCAATTTAAATCGCCCGTTTTGACTTTTGGACATATTTAAGGAAAATAAAAAATAGAGTTGATTTTTCAAAATTGACATTACTTTTTAATAGGGGTAATGATGAATGAGAAGATAAGGTGAAAAAGAGTGACTTATTTTAAGGGTAATTTGGGTATTTTATTTTTAATAGTTTACGAAAACAACTAACAGGCAATTTATTTTGGGACGGAGAAAAAAGGCAAACAGGCAATTTAAAATGGGACGGAGGGAGTATGATTCTACAATGTTTGTAAGTATGTGATGCTTGAATCAATTTATACAGAGCATTTTGTAGATTTTGTTAGAGTATAACTTGAGTTTTTGATTGAATTGATTCTTTGACATAAAGTTAGAATCTTCAACTTAAATGTCGCGAGTTCAAACTTCAAACCTCACCCTCACGCACCCAATTTAAATAAATTTATTTTCACGTCCAAGTGTTGGACCAAAAGCAAATCTTGCCTTCATGTGAAGAGATATAATCTTTTTTTGGGCCTATAATCACAAGTCTGATTCAACCAAAAATTAAGGGCACTAGTTATGAATTGTTTTTTACGACTTTGGTGAAGTTTACATTTCCTTCTTTCTTTACGGTTATACTCCGTATAAGAGATGGGTGGGTTTAGAATGGAAGAATAAGAGGGATATGCAATTATGCATCAGATATTCTGTTTGGGAAAGGTGATATTTGTTGCCATAAGGGCAAAAGACAAGCAATAATTAAGTGTATTTGTGGACACTAAAGTCATATTCTCTTCATTTGATCTGAATGATTTTAAGTTGATTAAAATAAGTTCTAATTTGATCTAAATGTAATTATATTTAAGGGTAATTCTAATTCAAAACTGATTTCAATAAAAAAAAAATAACAAAAATAAGTTGAAGAAAACACGATCTAAGAGTACCGTTACTCATTCCCCTCTATTTCTCTCTCATATCATCTACTTTCAATATCAAATCACTTTTTTTCTTCAACTTTCTCCGCCCTTTAATCATTCTCTCACTTTTTTATTAATTTTTTCACATGTCAGCTTTTCATTTGTATAAAAAATAAAAAAAAAGAAGTGATCACTTACATATTTTCTCTCTAGGAAAATAATATTGGAAAAAAGACTTAAGTAGAAGCAAAACATTGAAAATATACCAAAATAAAATTCTATGTTTTAATTCCTAAATTAGGAGCAAAATCCAAATACATTACCAAAATGTATTGGAAAATATTCATATACAATGTCACATTACTATAATGTAAACTTTTATTTTGGAGATAACATGGAGATTCTATTTTAATATTTTCTTTTTATTTTATTCTTATTTAGAGTGATTTCTTAATATTACCCCCTTTGTCATCTCTCTCATCTATTTTCCTCCTCTTTTTAATCATTTACCTGATTACCTCTAATAGAGCTGGACTTGGGTCCGGTTCCGAACCGGTACCGGTGGTTCTGATCCCCGGACCGACAACGGCGGGAGGCAGAACGGGTACCGGAACCGGCTGACACAATACCGGTTCCAGGGAGGAGAGGAGTGGTACCGGAACCGGTAGTTCCACGGCCGGTTCTGGTTCCTAACCGTGTCTTTATCATGTAACTCTTCTCTCTTGAGAGTGATATGTAAGAATCTGAATGAAGAGTTGGAGAAGTTAATCCCTCCGTCCCATTTTAAATCGCCTGTTTTGATTTTTGGATATATTTAAGGAAAATAAAAAATAGAGTTGATTTTTCGAAATTGTCAGTACTTTTTAGGAGGAATGATGATGAATGAAAAGATAATGTGGAGAAGAGTGACTTATTTTAGAGGTAGTTTAGGTATTTTACTCTTAAAAGTTTACGAAAATAACTAACAGGCAACTTATTTTGGGACGGAAAAAAAAGGCAAACGGGCAATTTAAAATGGGACGAAGGGAGTAGTATTTACATGTACATAATCTTGCCTATCAATTTTGTAGTGATTGTTTATGTATAGACTCATACATGATCTAGAATAAAACAATCCGATTCTGAATATAAATTTAGCATAAAAGATAGATTCATCAATGATAGAATGATAGTTAAAGCCCAGTTTGTTGAAGCATTCCAATTTCCAAGAATGCAAAATACTGTAGCAATATGCTTATTTTTATCTTCATACCAGAAATTGAGTAAATATTTTGGCTTTAATGCTCATTTTATCTACTTTTGATGCCAGAGATTTAACAACTCCATAAACATCTTCACGTTTAAGCACTGTTTTTTAGGATTGGAAAAATTAACCTCTAACTTTTTCCAGCTTCTTTCAACGACTTAAAAAGGTATTTATATATGATTAATATAAAATGACATTTTATATCCAGATTTATAACATATCACTTCAATTACGGACAATGATGCATTCTTTTTATCCAAAATTAGAGTTTTCTTACATATTTATTTGAATGATTATTTAATTGAGTGACTTTTTAACACTTACATTCTTCCGACATTTTCCAAACTCCTAGTTTCTTCAAATTCCTTCCAATTTCTTCCAAGATCCAACTTTGAAATTCCAATTCAAAAGAATAGAGCATTGGTGTAGGGTCCACAAATATTTTAGAAATAAGAAGCCATAGTAAACCAGAGATATCCATGAGGACAATGGTGTTAATACTTTGGAATTTAACAATTGACACCATTGTAGGGGCAAGGTCTGCGTACACACACCCTCCCCAGACCCTACTGTTGTGGGATTCACCTGGGTTGTTGTTGTTGTTGTTCTTCTTCTTCTTAACAATTATTTATTTTTACATTGTTATTCCGGATTGCCAACTAAGTTAAATTTGTGGAATTTTTAATGCTGATGGAGTCATTTCTTGAAGCACTAACGTAGAATGCCTCATTTCTTGAAGCATTCATGTGAAATGTTTTCAACTTACAAATGAAATACTTCATCAATAGGTCCCCATCCCAAACAATCTGTGTCTAAATTTATAAACACCCCTCTCATAAGCTCACTAAATTAACTAACTTTTCGTGTTCTAAAACAAAACATCATCAAATTAGATTGGTTGTACCTGGTAGTCTGGTACACTGTCACTGCTTTGCCACTTATTACTTCCTAAGACTTATTCCATATCACTTTAAGCCATGAAAAATCATACCTTTGATTTGTAAGGGAATTCTGCGTTTAACATACAAGGAAGCTCATTTAGGAAAACTCTGAAAAATCTGCAGAAACTTTAATCTTTTGCTTTGCCCGAAGAATGCAGAGGTCTAGTCTTGGTTTCAAGAAAAACAACCAATTGAACCTGTTTCAGCCATATCAATCCAACAAGTTTCAGACCATGTGTAATAATACCTATATAAATGAGAGAATGGATATACAAAAAAACTTACTTCATTCGTGCATCTTATGCGGGTTTCAGACTTGCATATATCACTGGGGTCTGGCATCACTTGAGCATGTTGTTGAATGTTTCAGAGAGATAGTTACACTGTGATATAGAGTCCACATCTCGTGTAAATTGACCATTATTTAGTTATAGCTAGCTTCATTTTTTCGAAGCAATATATTGTGTTATTGCCTCAAATTTTCACACTTGGCGTACTACCACCCATGTGCACAAACTCAAAATCAATACATGGAAAATGCTATTATAATATTAGGGTTTGACATCATTGATGACACCATTGTAACAGACATGCACAGACCCCTGTGCATGTGCAAGTACTCAAAGACTGTTTATGCAATGTCTGTGGTATTGGTGTCAAACTTGGTGTCACTGTGGTATGGTCCATTGTTGTATACCATTGCACGTTTTAGAACCTCTCTATCAAAGTGTGCATGTTTGAGTTAATTTCCTGCAACATTTGATGTCTTCATGTGTGTTACACCTAAATACATGAATTAACATCAAGTGATTCAGTGTTGTTGACTACAGCCCAAGTCTAATAAAGAGACAAGACTTGCTTGTGGCATCCTTTTATCAAGTGAAAGGGTAGAAGTTCGAAAAGAGAAGAGTGCCAAGAAAGATGTATGCCCAGCAATACACCCAAATACAATACCCGCACCCAAATCCCCTCTGCGCAATGTTACGCTTAGAAGAAGAAGAAGCTGACATCATAACATATGAAGAAAACCAGTAGAGAGGTGGGCTGGCAGATAAGAACCGGGTTGCAACCTGTGTCAAAACGATGTCAAGCATTCAAGACACAAATGACGAAATTTTTAGGTTTTATTCTTAATCCAAAAGGTTTCAAATAACTAATTGTAATCATGTATATGTATATATTAGACCTGCACATGCATGACAAGAAAAGCTGTGGCTGTCATGAATCCGAGATGAAGAACCAAAGGTACTTGTATTATAGCTGCTGTTGAGAGATTATTATCATCTGTTTTTCCAGTTTCTAAGGCAGTAAAATTCTGTCTTCTTCCAACAGTAGCAACGTGTTTCCGTTGTTTAAGGGCACAATCACCACCTGTCACAGACACACACACACACACACACACAATTGTTCTGTTTGAGTAGTAACCCGACGTATATTGATATCAAAATGTAGAACTTGTCTCATATATAAATCTTAGAGAAGAACAGATTGATACCTTCATTCAATTTGTAAGAGGCATCATCTTTCATCACCAAAAGGCGAGCACTGTCCTGCCCCCCTTTATTATCATTCATAGGAGAAGAGACTCTTCTGAAGCCTAGGGAGAGAAAAACTTTCGGCTCTAGCTTCACGTAATGAATAATTGAACAAAGTGCAAGAGACAACACTGGAGAAGCGAGTACAAAGTTTGGGATTTGTTTTATTTGAAAATACCTCAAGAATCCCACTCCCCTGAAACCAATAAATCAATCAATGTTTAAAAAGAAAGAATAACATGGAAAAGGAATATTGGCAAGAGGGAAACGAAACATCATTACCAATAATGACCTTGGATATAGTCATAGAATAGAGGTATCCTCTTCTTGCACCATGGACTTGGAGAATGTCCCACACAGATATTGTAATATCCATAAGCTTGGAAACCAATGAATGGGAAAATAATGCATATGCTACGAATAGCACCGACGATAAGTTCCCAGAAAACAAACTGACACCATGTGAAGAATTGTGAGACAAATTGTATACATATAGCTAACTTGACTTTTTAAAAATAGCTTTTGATGATTCTGATTGTAATTTTAAATTTATGAAAAAATCAGTGTTCCTATATTAAAAGGGAGGGCATATATTTACAGTAACACTTACAATTGCATGCTTTCTTAGAACAGCAGAACTGTAAACAGAATGCATCATCTGAAAACATATATAGCCTGCAGTAAGTATTCCATTTGACCGTGAAAACCCAGAGAGAGCAAACCAAAGTGTAGCAATATTTCTTGCACCACTTGTGAAGTAATATAATCCTCCAATTGAAAAAAGGGCATAGAGACTCTCAGTATATCTAGAAACAAAAAATAAACAGAATATTCAGCTTCTAAAAGTCTATGGTGCTACCTAGGAAAAACTTGGGATCGATTTCAAACACAGATAATTCTGTGCAAAGGAAATTTAGAAGCAACGAAATGTTGAGGGGGAAAAAGCATTAGTTCAAATTCAAAAACTTGATTTTTGATATTTAGTAAAACTCATCTTGCTTTATTAATTTATCTCCATTACTGGTATATAAAGACTAATAAATCTAAAGGTACGAAAAATTAACCAAAGAATAAATACTCCGGGGTATACATTATTCACTATTTTTAGGAACCCAGTAAAATATCTTTTCTTACCTATTTTCCCCATCTCCCTAGCATTTTACGGGATCCAAACACACCATTATAGACTAATTTACAAATTCAAAGGTGATAGGTTAATATGAGCAAATGTTGTTGGAACATTGAACTTCAAGAGCACTAATATACACGAGCATGTTGTTCTTAATTTGGTAACTGTTCTTTGCAGATTTATTTTCCAATTAGATTTTGGCATGTAACGATTGTAACTCATACTCCCTCTGTATTTAAAAATTTAGTTGACTTTCTTTTTTGAGGATGTGTTCAATTACATGCTCCAACATCCAATTTCCTTTTAGGTGAAATTGACTTTATCAAATGACATTTTTACTTTTTATTTTCTCTCTCCTACCTCTTCCTCCTCATATTATTTTCCAGAAATGAACAAAAGAGGAAGAGGGCAACCCAAAAAGACTTGGGAGGAGGTGCTTAGGAGTGAATCTATAGTTATACACTATGGAAACACAGAAGTTAAAGGTATGGATGAATACATTGATGAGTAAAACACGGAAGCAGGATTTAAGCAAAAGAGTAGTGAAGCTCTCATTGCTAGCTCTGAGTCCTTCACAACAATTACTGAGAGCCTGCAAAAATATGGAGAAAAAAAAGAAAAAAACATTAGTTGTTCAAGCTATTAACATCAACATTGAAAGTTATTTGTATACATTTCCAGAATAAAGCCTGTTGAATCTACAGTTCTACACTACGGAAAATGACCAAATGAAAGTGCCCTTTTGGCATCCCTTGCCTAAATAGCAGAGACAACTAGACAAAAATTCATGAGTTGTGACTAGTGAGCTTAGAAGACTCTCAACAAGAACAAGAAAATCATTATATATCTTAGATATTACAAAAAGATAGGTACTTTCCTATATAGCTCAGCAGGAGCATTATCTTAGATATTACTAAAACATGGCTCCAAAAGAAAGCATGACCACCATATGCTTTTTCCTACTACAATGCTTATTTGTCCCTGAATAGATAATGGCATTAATTAACTAAAAATATTGATGTACTA